ATGGAGCGAATACTGCTTGGCAGGTTGTTCCAGCATAGCGCACCCTGGAAGGCGAATGTCCCCTTTCCAGAGTTGCTGCGGGCGGGTGGCAGGCAGAGACCCATGCTGGAGTCCAGGCACGTGGACCGGCCACAAGCTGGCAGTAAGAGAACCTGCTCAGGACTTGCTTGGCCGTAACGGCAGCGCCATGCAAGGAATGCCAGCTTCTGCTTGTACACTTCGGTTACCCGATACAGTGAGAGGCGCTCCAGTAGGTCATGTGCGGATGTCCACGGCGGGCGTCCGAACACTACACAGGCACCACGGTTTTGCAGAACCTGTAGTCGATGACAGTGCCTGGCTGCCAGAGATGTCGAAAATGCATTTGATCCATATAGAAGATCAGGCATTATGATGGACTGGAAATAAGTTATCCGGCCCTGTGTGCTGAGGCAACGCCGCATCCTCCACAGGACTCCGATCTTTCGTGATACACGGTGTGCACAGCGGGTTACGTGGTCATCCCAAGACATGTTGCTATCAAATGTTACGCCAAGGTAAAATGAAAAAGGAAATGGAGATCACCTGGCTTTTAGAAGCATTCAGGATCAAGCCACGGTCGTTTAGCCAGTTAGCAATAGCTGAAGCTGACGCAGACAGAATTGCAGACACTTCAGACTTAGTCGGTTTGCTGCAAAGACAAAGCTTGTCCTGCAACATAGGGTATTTCCCGAGTGTATATGTTGAACAAAATGGGGCCGAGCACAGATCCCTGTGGCACTCCGCAGGTGCAGAGAGTGATAGTGCTGCGTGATGGTCCGATACACACACGCTGGGTCCGTTCGGAGAGGTAAGAAATGAACCACCGCAGGGCTGTGGCCGTGACACCAACATTGAAGAGGTCGAGAATTAGTTGGTGATGTCTAACTTTATCGAATGCTTTGGACATGTCCAGTAAGCAGACACCTGTGTACATTCGTTTGTCCCGGGCAGTATGGATACGGTTGGTGATGAGAGCTAGTGCATCCTCACTGGAATGGCCGCTGCGAAATGCAAACTGAGTGGAGGGAAGTGACTCCGTGATGTTCATGACTGATACAAGTTCCTTCTGCACCAGCTTCTCTAAAAGCTTGGACAGGATTGGGAGAAGGGAAATGGGACGGAAGTGAGTGGGAACTGCTGGGTCACCAGCTTTATTTAGCGGTGATACGTGTGCAAGCTTGAAGGCAGAGGGTACTGTACCACGGGATAGTGAGGCATTGAAGAGAGCAGCAACAGACGGAGCAATGATATCAGCACAGCACTTCAGAAGTACTCCTGGGATGCTGTCACTGCCTGTGGCCTTGGCTGCATTGATGCCTCTCAGGAGACGATAAACAGAGTTGGTTCGGACATACTGGAAAGCTGATAACGCTGTGGGGCGTGATGGACCCTGTGGCATGGTGAGCACAGGGGGTCTATCATTATCAGTCACAACTTTACTGAAGGCTGTGGCGACATCCTCCACATCACACGTTGGCTCAATACGTTGGCGAGTTCGAGATGTTACAGTGTTGATGATATGCCACAGTTTGCGTGGATTGCGACTATGTTCAGCACATTGGATTTGGAAATACTCATTGCGTTTCCTACGATAGGCATTTCTGGCAGCCGCACAGGCACGCCTGAATGCCGAGTAGAGATGGGTGCTGTCCTTCTTCTGAAGCCACTGGCGGTGTAGCCTTTTCTTGCGACACTGGAGTTGGTACAATTCCCTGTCAGACCACGGGGGATATGAGCTCGCCTTCCTGCTGGTGGATTTGAGAGGGGCATGTCTGTCAAGAGCACGCATGAATTTAGTGTGCCAAGTGCTCCACATCTCATCAGTGGAGGAAGTCGATTGGAACCAGCTCAGGTTGGCATTGGCAAGCTCATCCCGAAATTCTGGAAGGTTTATGGTGCGCATGTTGCGGGTTAAACTGGTTCCCCGGCGTTGCGAGGAGTGTTGATGCTTAGCGGACGGTAGCGCGAGGTCCAGTCTAGCATGTACGGCCGAGTGATCACTCAGAGTGCAGGTTACGACATTGCAGGAGACTGTAGCAGGGCTACTGGTGAGGATCAGGTCCAGTGTTGTGCCGACGGGACATCTTGGGGTTATTCGGGTTGGGACAGAAACTAAATTTCTCAAACCGAAAGAGTGAATTGCATCATTGAAACGGTGGAGCTGAGGTGTTACAGCTGAGCTAACATTAATGTTAAAGTCACCAAGCAGGGTGACAGATGGTGATACCACTGCAGCCTGGTGAAGAGCCTGCTCAAATCTGTCCCAATAATGAATTGTTTCAGCAGGGGGGCGATACATACACGCAAAAAGGTGCCGCTGTTTGGAGTGGTGCAGACTGATCCACACGGCTTCAATACCGTCCACCTTCAAATCTGGTTGTACGGTGACAGGAAGTGTAGCCTTGTAATACAGGCACACACCTCCACCAGGACGGCCGGCTCGATCCAGCCTGACAAGGCTGTATCCAGATATTTCTATCTCATTGTTAGCTACTGTGTTGGTGAGCCAAGTCTCGGCCACACCGACAATGTCCCAGTCCATCGAATGCACCAGGTCCGACAGTTCATGTACTTTGTAGCGCAGACTACAAATGTTGAGGAATGCAATGGTCAAATCTTGCTCCGACGGTGCAAGCACTGTTCTTGTTACAGTGGGTTGGAATGGTGTAGCGTTCGGATTGAGAGGAACTAGAGCTTGAGGAGCAGAGGTTGTCGAAATATGGTACTGTTTTCAAGTTAGCACTCAAATGTTATTCCGTTGATTGTGCCCTGTGCGCCACTATTATCCGTATCCTCAGCACCTGAAACTTCATCACTTTTAGCTGCAGTGGAGAAAGCATTGCCGAGTTTGTCAGCCCGAGGAGTTGCTGAGAATGTATGCTTCCCTGACGCCATGGTGAATCCATCTTTGTCAGTGTCAGGTGACTGATGAGGTGCCTTCCCTCTGCCACTGAAAGATCTGTTGCCCTCCTGCATTGGCGTCCTGGTCTCACTGCGTTCCTGATACAGTGTCTGTGAAAGCATGTCAGTGGTTTGACATGTTTGCACTCCGCCCTGAACTGCAGACTGTCCAGCAGCTCCATCTGTACACAGGGCCGTAGCAGGCGGTCCGGCAGCTGCCGGACCAATATTCGGCCAAAAAAAAAAAAAAAAAAAAAACGGAACCTCACAGATGTGAGCAGCTCAGGATGTCCACCCGGTACCATTGATGAGGATGTGTGCTATAAGTAGCATAGAGGTAGTATATAGTAGTGCCGGTAGTAGACCTACAAGTACATGTCATCAGGAGAATGACCCTGCTGAAGGTCATGGGGACAGTCATGCCTGTGAATGTTCCTACTCTGTACTTCCTGAAATGATTGTATTGATTCTTTTCTTCCTCCAATTCTTTCTAGATAGAGTTTGCACCAAAGATTTTCAGTTGCAATATCCTTTCTCCTCCTCCAAAGGTCCATTCTGGTTCTTTTATCACATGCATTTAAATGCGGTTGCTATGCCTTCATAGGCTTCAACAAGTTCTGTTTGGACGGACACAACATGCTGATGCCCTTTTTCCTGACTCATGCCGAACGTCCTTCTTCCTTTTCTCGCCCTATGTCACTCTGCATGGTCACGATTACATGCATGTACATGTACATGTACAATCAAGAGTACACGGGGGTTATGTACTCTTGATACAATGTATGTACTTCCAAGTACAATCATGTACTTTTGTACATGTACCGGCATATGTATGAGTATGGGCTCGGGGGGGGGGGGGGGGGGGAGCATCGAAGTCGGATCTTGCCGGACCAACCAAAATGGGGCTGCTACGGACTTGAGTACAACATTTACAAATACAGTGCCAGTCGTGAACGTGAACTCGCACTTTATGCATGACCTGATCCACTACGTACGAGTTAAGTGCATAGACCAGTGTACAAACTTTCGTAACTTCGTCAAACATAAACGCATCGTTACAATCAATACACCGTTGGAAAGATCTTGATCTCACCTGTCCGGGGATATAAAGTTCTTTGCAATAGGATAAGAATTCATTGAGCGGCGACAAGATGAACACGGAAATCACGGCCCAGAGTGAACGGGACTTTTTTGTTCATTACTTCTTTTTGTTGAAGAGCGTGCCAGGGGATTTCCCTTTGGCATGGCGCATGCGTGATGGACATCAAATGAAGCGCTTGGATCTGAGCTTTGCAGCGCAGTTTGAATTGTGAAAATCTGTTGAATTTGGGCAAGAAGCCGAACAAGAATGTGAAATTGAGTTGTTGTGCCGTTCCGAGGCACGGTGGAGTAATTTGGAGAGGACGTGGAAGTGGCCCTGATGTGTCTATGGAGCTGAGAGCTGCCAGGATGGATTCGCTTGGTCCTGATCTTTCCAACGAGCCCAGGACGATGAAAATCCATCAAGGTGGAGTAAAATGAGAATATATTTCGTTCGGAGCTGTGAGTGCATACTCCACCAAGAGAGTCAGTGCGCTGGAAAGCCAGTGGATTGGAGAAAAGGGGCTCAACATGCAAAGGGTTAACCCATGCGCTTACCCAATCAGTCCACCAAGACCAACACCTCAACTTAACCCCAACGCCACGCCCTTCAATCCCAACTTCATTCCCAGCACACCTCCAGCCAAGTGCCAGGAGCTTCGAACCATATTCTTAACCCTAGAACTACCAAAATTTCAACTACCCTAGATGTACCGGAGGCATCATATGACTCCACTGGACTTAAACATACCTGCTTGGAATTATTTTCGGGGATATGTGCAGAAACAGAAGTCCTTGGGGTAAAAAGTACCTTTTAAAAGGAAGAACCAATGACAGGTGCACTATCTTGGAGACAAGCAGCTGGCATTGCGCGCAGCGAAAGGGCGACCTCTCGTCAGTTTACGGAAAAATGAAAGAGCATTTGCTTGCCATGCTCATCCTGCAAACAGAACTACGACAAAAATGCCTTTTTACGGTACATGCACAACATGACTTACAGGGTTTGTAATTTGGTTGTGGCGTTGAACAGCCCAGCAGGTAGGTGAACAAGTTGATTTTGGTACAAATCTCTGGGACAACAAAGTAGAATTTTGATAGGATGTATATCACTTCCTGGAAGAATATCTTATTACTCTATTTTGTCATACTAGTTTGTAGGTCGAGTGTGTGGGTTACAGTGAGGGCTTTTACCCACCCGCCTGTGTAGATTCACACCAAGTTTGAGCTAAGAAGTCTGAAGAAAATGTTGAACGCTGAATTCGCCGGGAATGGATGTGTTAGTGCCTCTACAGCGTGCAAAGTAAATATACATCTATGGAGGTGCACGGCTGGATGTGGCTGCCATTGGAGTCTGGTAGGTTTGAGCAAACATTCTTCGATGCTCGGGTGTATAACCCGTATGCTCGTTCAAACCGAAACCCTGCCTCCCTGGTGTCCGTCTATGCCAGACACGAGAAGGAGAAGTGTCGCAGCTACGAAGCACGAGATTTGCACATCGATCATGCGTCATTTGTCCCCATCGTCCTCAGTTGCACTGGCGGGCAAAGCCAAGCAGCGAAGGCTCTCTACCGCAGGGTTGCGTCCATGGTATCGGAGAAGATAGGAGAGTCTTTCTCGTCGGTGATTGCCTTTCTTCGAGTGAGGTTGGGCTTTGCCCTCGTCCGAGCAGCTGCCGCTGCCATTCGTGGTCATCGACGTCCAGCCTCTTCCTCTGCCGTTGATCAGAACCGGTCAGCAGCGTTGGCTGTTGCGCAGTGTGGCTTGGCGTTGTGAGAACTAACTACTTGCACTGTATCCCCATTGTACTTGCACTTCCTGTCAAATATCCGTCTTTTCTTTTTCTCTATTTGTTTTCTTTACCAGGCGTGGGCAATTCCCTGGACTATCAAAATGGGTGCCTTATTATTTTATCTGTTTCTGGTATAATGACAGTCCATTGCAGATTACAATTTTTTTTACATCTATGCTGTGATAGGTGATTTCAAGTAGTGCTTTGAGCCGAATTCTGACTTTGGCGCTCATAATATGGCCGAATTTGGACATTCTCTCAGCCGATAGAAAAGCCGATTAGGCGAAAAATCGGGTCGATTTGGGAAATGCCTAGCTGGTGCTCATGGCCAATGACACTACCATGCTCGCTGCGAGTTCTGGGGCTGGTCAAGGGGATATTGCGTTGTGGCAAACAGAGAGCAGATGCGGAGGACCAGGCAAGAAGTGCAGCTGGTACGGGTAGGCAAGCGAGGCAACAGTACAGCGGATGGCCAGCCTGGTTAGGTGTCCACCAGGACCGAAAGCATCCAGTGCGCAGGACTGAACATTGTTCAGACGCTGAAGGTGACTCTGCACAGCTTCCATCCACACAAGAGGCGCATACTCCATGACTGGTCGTACAAAAGCCTTATATACGGTCCACCTGCCGGCGCAGGTGAGGATGCGGGCGGCTCTGTTTAGGACACCAAGCCGTTGGCGTGCACGGGTGGCTGCGGAGCGTAGGTAGTTTGTAAATTTTATTATTTAAGGGGTCAGCCTACCCCTAAATTCCATATGGCATTCAATTGACCGTAACTTTGGCATCTCTCCATGGATTTGAGTGAAAGTTTGACCACACACTTCTTCCACTATGCTGGCTCTCTGGACATGATTTAAAAATTCTTGAGCCTCGCTGACAGGCTTTCCAGGCCGGAAAACTCGAAATTCCAGCATAGTGCCTCGGTGTGCGCGACACCCAGGAGCCAAAAGAATGCATTTACAATTTGTTCACATTTTCGTGCCCATTCTGTCCGTGCGTGGGATCCAAACCTAAAACAAGTTCACAAGCAGCCATGGGTGGTGGGGTAGGGCCCCTCAAAGTGGCCCTGGAATCTGTCACAACGGAACGAGTTTGCGTTCTCTCACAGACTCCCACAGACCCAAGTCAATTTTTGATTTTTTTTAGGTTTAGCACGTGCTACGAGGTCGTACTTTTGATACAACATCCAGTGCTGGGACGTCCACAGCAAGCCATTTCCACAGCGCTGCACACCAAATCCAGGATACCCTCAAAAATTGGCAAAGACTACCACTCGCGTTACACTACTGCCTGGTACTGAATCCTACCTGACTTCTTGACACGACTCAAACTTGTCAAAGTCACTGAATCAACGTCAACCACAATATTCAAGCCACATATCTGCAACGTCACGAGGGTGCTGGCAAAGGTCCTGCTGCACGTGCAGCCCAATACGTGGCTAAAAAACGTGATTTTTGGACTTGGAGCAAAATTCTGCACACTTTCGCGTGTTTCCATGATAGGACAAGTTCCACACGGTCTGCTCATATTCAAATACAGTGTTGCCAAAAAAATATATATATTTTTCCTTGCAAGGGAACATTTTTTCGGCCATAACTCTTGAACGTCTGGTCAGATCGAGACAAAATTTTCATAGATTTTGCAGCTATTCATGCTCTTTCAACTGACGTAGCACTCGATATGAATTTACAAATTCGATTTTTCACCGAATTTTCGGGTGGTCTGCCACCTTAAAATTAATGATCTCCCAAAGGCATAGCCTATCTGGGGGATCAGGTGATCGCTAAAGGTCAACTGGGTGTCCATCTTCACAACAAGGAGGGTGATGCTGGTTGTCTCGTGTACCAGTGTGCCACCAAACAGGAGTGCATGGAGATCTAAGCCGGCGCGTCAGAGGGTGACTGTCATGGCCTGGGATTTGGTCGGGTCAAAAATCACTTTCCATGTATGGCCTCTGAGGGTGGCTGTCATGGCCTTGGATATGGTCGGTTGAAAAATAACTTTCCTTGTTTGGCCCCACTGGTGCAGTCTGTCAATGCCCAGCCTGCTGCAGCCAATACAGTTCCTTTTCACAGTGCTACCCGACAGAGCGATACGCAATCGCAGCAGCCATTCGTTTTCCTCAAACTCATTCTTGACACAGATGTCCTCGAACAGGTGGAGATAACGCTCCAGTGGCTGCCTTCCGTCGTATGTCGATACTTTCATTAAAGGCCCACGCCCACCGCTGTGACAGGGAGCCTCCGCTGTACCTCCCATCAACCTCACACGCGCAGCGTCACCCATTCCATCAACTTATCGCCTTCAAATACATACCGAATTCCGTTGGCGAAAAGTTGGCTTCCAAATAACCTAGTTCCTGTTCCATGCTCGCTTCGTATCCTGGAGTGGTCTCCAAATGTTGTGAACCCTCTGTGATTCTCTAAATTGTCAGGATCGAACGACCACACTGCACGAGGACAACTATTAACTCTTGAGAGTATATTTCACTTCGATCAACAGCAACTAACGCTAAAACCACCAGGTAGTTATAGCGTGAAAATGACAGCAAACCCATACAACATACAAATATAGCGCACACAGCAAATCACACATAGCGCATGTAGCGTATACCACGTCGTACACATCAGCGGTACGGCGGAGTCAAGATACAACTGCATTGAAACGAACACAATGCCACAAGCGAGAAGGCATGTCACACTTGAGAAATTGTGGTTTCATAATAAGAGTTTCCATGACTTTTGAGATTATGCACAGCAACAAGAGTACATAACCCCCAAGAGTGTGCAACTGCCTGCACAACCACTATGCTGTGCTGCGACGGCAGAACTTCACATCACGTGACATGGTTCAAAAGGTTATGCTGGCAAACAGTGCAAAGTGACGACAAGAGAGTTGTACCCAAAGCTGGGCTGCGTACAACCCTGTATCTATCATGCACAGAGTGCAAATATTGTGTACGGGTTCATCACGTGATGTGAAGTTCTGCCGTCACAGACCCCATAGCTGGAATTGCACACTCTTGGGGGTTATATACTCTTGACAGCAAGGGTACGGGCCTGTAATTCTTAAGGCTTGAGCGGGAAGATTGCTTGTGGATATAAACCATGTTGGCCGTCTTCCACATCCTAGGTCGGACTCCAGACCGGAAGCACTGATCTCTGTCTCCAGTCTGCCTGTACAATGTCCTTCATTACTTTTAAAATTGCTTGTCCACCCAGCTTCGCAAAATCCCTTCTGGCACTCTCTTCAAATCCCAGATATCCCTGCTGTTGCAGAACTCTGTATGCTCGTGTAGCGACCACCCTGCCCATACACGTAGTCACTAATCTCTGCTCACCCAATTTTTCATCACTCTTCCTCCTCTCTCACACCATTATCGCTTATTGGCCAATGGGTACCGTGAGAATAAAGTTTTGACAACAACCACGTTATGAATTTGCAGTTGAAAGCCCTATTTGAATAAGGTGACGAGCTGTCTTTGATGATGCTGTGCGGTCCATGTACCCCATCTTTATCATAGCTACGGGAATAAGGCTGCGTTTACACAAAGACAAAATGAAACGAAACGAAACGCAACGAAAACGGGCTGGCCTCCAATCGTTTTCAAATCTTTTACACGAGAACGGAAAATCGTTTTGAACCGTTTACACTAAAACGGAAAACGGGCGATCAGGCTAGAAGTTAGCACGTGCTGGTTTGGCGCAAGGGCGGGAAGTAACACGTTAGTTGGAGTTGGTACGTGCTGGTGGTCGCAAGGAATGGGTGTTTCCCGCTAGTTATATTCTGGCAAAGAATGGTTTCCATGACCACGCTCCGTTTCCAATCGTTTTCACTGTTTTCACCGTTTACACGAGAATGAAAACGTTTTGAAAACTTTTCAAAACACTTTGAAGTGCTTTTCCATTTCGTTCCGTTTAGGTATCGTTTTCGGTCGTTGTCGTGTAAACGATAGTAGTAAACGCAACGATATCATTCCGGTTGGCGTATTTCGTTGTCGTGTAAACGCAAATCGTTTTCAATCGTGTAAACGCAGCCTTAAGCATCATTACCGCATAGTGAGGACTCTTGATTGCCATTTAGAGTGAGATTCGTTTGGAAATTGACTTACATATCCGTAACGATCTTGTTATTCTGAAATGCTGAGCCACTGAGATCCGTCAAACCGTAAGAGCGCAAAGAACTAGATGCAATAAGGCACAGAATAAAGCGGTATTTTATACAAAAAATAAAGGACCAAGGAACTACACGTTATGCTATACAGTCCATTAACACCACCAGTCACTAAACAATCAGCTCGTGCGATAAAAGCGCACGACACTGACCGACGGTACAGACGTTTCACGGCTGTTATGCATGCATAATCCAGCGACATTATGTACCGTACGACATTTCCCCGTCACCCAGTGATCCATGATGCGGTCTTACACGACCTTGCTGCCTTTTTCAAATCTCTGGAAATATTCGGCAAGGTTTAGCCTATGTTTCTGTCGATTCCAGCCGTTTTCCACGCTGGATTCGCGAAGTCTCGGCGAATTCACCTTCCTGCCTTCAAGCTGCGAAAGCAGATATTTTGATCGTCAAACTGCGCAATGGGAAAATGAAGTTACGATCTTTTTCATTTCGTTCTTCCTCGGCGTGCCGGCCATTGGCGTTTATCAGAATTGGCTCACATTTGAGGCTTCCTCCTAAGGGGTGCAGAATTTTTGGCAGCCTTCACGCCAATTTTGATTGAAACGTTTGTCCTTTTCCTACGTCGTAGTTATATTTTCATTGCCTCCCAGATTATCGTTTTCGTGCCCAAGTCGATTTGCGGGGCGTACTTGGACGTCAGTTGCAAGTGTTTGCTGATATATGCAGAACGAGTGGAGGTGTGTTCTCCTGCCTCAATGTCTAACGAAGGCCCGGTTTCGTCCGCCATAGGAGGGATCCGTGCATGCTTCGTTCTGGATGTCAGCAAGTACAAATCAGACATGCATCCAATGAACATTTTTTGAAATCCATGCTTTCGAAATGTATGTAGAAGCAGGACATTGTGTACAGATTTTAAATGTTAGACAGATAGGCATGGGTTTTTTGTATTACTAGTTTTACTGCAGATTTAGGCCTCGCACAATGAAGTCTGCCGACGATCCTGCTGAAAAGCACACACTTGCATGCGTGAAGACCATACGGAAATACTTAAAGTAATTGAACAACAACAAACGGCATCCATGATGCAGCTTATAATAATATTATATCTTGCACTGCATCAGCACTAAGCACAGCATGGCACTCAGGACAGTGCCGCAGCCGCTGGTGATGGCCGTACCCGCTTTTACCACTCTCGGCGTTCATGATAATTATTACATGTAACATGTTCAATATGCAAATGATTATGTAGAACACTAATAGGCTATCCTCGTACACTCCTCACTAGATTCCCTACTAAACTGCTTTCTTCTTCAGTGAGGACTACTGTACAAGCTGCACTATGCAGAGTATCTGTTGCTACCGGAGTGTGTAGCCAAAACAAACAGGTTATTATTCTGATGCGAATGAGATACACAGCATCACGCATCTTCATGACCGTGCCATTCCTATGGAGCTGGCTCAGGGCTTGATGGCAATGCAGTTCACCTGCTGAATTGACAGATGTCCATGAATTCATTTTAAAATAACAAGTCGGTCAAGTGAGAATTCAAGTCAGCAGGAATAGCGCAAGCTCCCACGTAGGGAGCAACACACAATTCCACAAGTATCGCCGAAGTCGCATCAAACTCTTCTTCACATTAATTACAATACGGCGAATTAAATCAAAGCTGTAAGAAGCAAAACAATTCTGTGACTTGAAACAAGCATTGAAAGAATAGCACCTATAGCAGGTCCATGTGCTTTAAAAGTTAGAGACTGGAAGATATCCTCTATTTGTACACTAACAACACCAACATGGAAGCGTTGCGGGCAACCAACTCCGCCATGCTATGACACTTGATGATGTGTTGCGGTACTTTGCTTATCACTGCAAGCCCACCGGTTGACTTGACCAACATCCATTGCTTCTTTCATGACGAAGATCAGCAGTGCAACCACCTCCTCCGATGCCGCACTTATTGGAGGAGCACATTCTACTGGAAATGAAGCACTTTAATGTTCAGTTAGTGCTGATCTGAAATAGTATGGAGAGCAGGGTGGTGAAGGGTTACACGCAAATTCAACATCCTTGCCGATGAGCACTGTGGAGCATGTGCAATGCAGAAACTGCTGTCCAATAGTATACAGAATCTGATTTCCAGCAATCCTAAAATCCTCACATTGATCCCCAAGGTGAAGAGCACATGCATGAAGAGACGTACATGTAGCTGCTATGTCATCAACTTTGCGTTGAGAGAGTAGCAGACGATCGAATTCTATCCTTCTCCTTCTCCAAGATGAATTGCAATCAGTCTAACGATTTATTTGTGCTCTTTTCTTGTGCACGGAAATCTAGCTGTAAGCTGTCCTCAGGGGGAGAACATGTTCTAGAATAAGAGCAGTGGGGTTCCATCTGTTCACGTCATGATGGTAGCGAGTCAAGCAAACGTGCCCCCTTCTTGTTCCGAAATTTCAAACACACCGAATACCATGATGCACTACATTACTACTTCCTCCGAGTCATCGAAATTACTTTTGATATAAAACGGGGTATTTACTCACCAGCACTCGTACCAGAGGCAAGGAATCGGACATAGGCGATAGTCATCAGTATAGGGTGACGGCAAAGTTATATTGTCGGTTATTGGAAGCTGGAATTTTTGAACTATAACAGTAGACGCAATTTCTTCGCTGATGTCGCTGCGATGGTAATTTCGACTCGCTCAGATCAGTCAGGCATTGCAGCCTGCACATTTCTCGTGCTTATGGCCATTCGCTCAAGCCTCATCACTTTTTTACCTTAGCTGGGGTGAGAATGACTTCGTGGAACAAGTGGCAGCGCTTGGAGAAACATCGAGGGGTCAGCAAACTAAATGCCTGCAACAGCGATAAAAATGTGTCGCTCTGGCTGAGACACTCAGTACATGATTGTACCTGCAAGAGCTGTGTAGACTCTACACGTAGTGCTAGTGATGCACGCGCAGGTGCCGTACCATGGTATACCAGTGCTGCTGAAAAAGAGGGCGTGCTGGACGTGATAGTACACTGACCTGCATGAGCTGTAACCACACAGCTAAAATAAATGGGCATGCCACGGCTAAAAAAAAGTTCATTTCAAGATCGAGGTGATTCCGCCGATGGTAATCAACCGACCTCGCAGCGATCATGTATTCTTACTAGGCTTCGTTGGTGGCGAAGTAAAAATCACCCAAAGCTAGCAGACGACAAGCATCGTGAGCAGCTCTTGTCCTGTGGAGAAAGTCAAAGCGTTTGAGATGAGGCGCGACCAACTTTCAACCTTCCTTGAAATATTTCGGAACGATATTTTGCGTCCATTGACATCACCGACGACGAGGACTTCATCTCTGCATGAAAACTCTCAGTCCAACTGTCCTGGAACGTTACTCTAGTCTTCAGACTATCATACTGTGTAATAAATTTTGAATGGCTTAGCTTATGGAGTTGTCAGTAACAAGTGACAAGTCACTAGTCAAACTGCGACAATTTCGATGACGCGGAGGAAGTAGAATTTATTACAGGGCATCGTCTTGAAAACAATTCCTGTATTGACTCCAGGACATACTAACTTCAGTACTTCGCCAAAGGGAGGCTTCCAGGTCTTGGTAGACTTATTCTCCTCCAGCATGGCCTCATACGACCTCTCCAAGGCACGAATCCATCGCCCCAAAAACAAAAACTTTCTTCGATAAATTTGAAAAATGTGCAGAAAGACTGCACGCATCGAGCTGTTGCGATGCGGGTTGCTACGGTACGCCGCCATATTGATAAATGTCGCACTCGGAACGGCCCTGGTTTCACAACTAACTGGCTAACAGCTCTAGCAGATCTTGGATGTGCACTCCAACAGCCTTCCAACTTGGAAGGTTCTAAGTTATAGAAATAACATCAGGAGGGAAAGGTGAGCGCAAGCAAGATAAGCACGAGCTGAAAGTCTCCGCTGTGAAGGACATTGGTGGATGTTCATGCATTGCGATGACGATACTGGCAAGACCAATGGACAATAAGGTCGAACCACGATTCAAGATGTCTCAGTACTCTGTCAGTTTTGTGCCTAGTTCTTCCACTTTCTGACTGTACATAGTAGTGTTGAAACGAGCATATCTATAAAAAAAAACCGAACGATCAGTTCCACTAACGAGCAAGCTATCGAGCGAGCTAACGAGTTTCATTGATGTGGCAAATATGAATTTTTGAATATACTTTTTTCAAAGTTCGATTTTTTTCAGCTGGTTCAAATTATCACCGCAAATTATCACCACTGGCATAATTGGGGTTGCTGCTGCTTCACTTTGGACTACTGTTTGGTGTCGAGATGTCTTTTCGGCGCCGTGGTTAAGTAGACTTTGTAAGAATAGACCGTTTTGCAAAGATTGCAAGTAGCCCTGGTCTTCGCTGCATCGCGGGAGAATACTTCCAAACGACTGAGCGTAACTTTCACTCAGATGCGGAACAAGACATCAGTAGAGTCCACCAAAGCTGCAATGACAACACAAACAACTCAAGTGTCGTGCAGGCATACAGACACTGTAACTGCGAGTGATTTTCACTTTGAGCGGGACTGGACTCTCGATCGACCAGGGAATCGTAACATATTTTACAACTCCCCGGTCGACATGTACTGCCATGTGTACGGAGTACGGTGTTCGTTAGTGCAAACGAGCTGGCCGCACAAACGAGCCGAGTTTCTGGCGAGCGAGCTAAAGAGTACTCGGTGAGATCGTTTTAACACTAGTATGAAAAATCTAGTGATGGAGAGTTACTCTTAACTCGAATTCAAATGTCCTTTTCCTTTCTACAGTTATGGTTGGTTCAACATCCGACTTTAATATATTTACTCTCTTACCCTTGTGACTTCTTTCACTTGTGATTTTTTCTCCTCCCCTCCCCATTACTTCCCATTACTATTAGCAATAACCTTGCCATGCCGTGTATGTCGCTCACATGTATAAAAGGAGGCGCCATCGCCTGTTTGTGTAACTCTAAAGCTGGTTCTCCAACTCGGCAAATCAGTTGATCTATGCGAATTTGTGCCTTTGTATCACCTTGACGTTTGTATAGGAAAAGGCATGCAACAACGTTATTGAAAAGACCCTAATGTATTATCTGCATCAAAACTTGTTTCATTCATTCCCAAGGATCAAAGGATTAACTCCATCATTGAATAGTGTTCAAGGTGTAGACTAATATGGGCACAAGTGCTGAATATTTCTAATTGCTGCTTTGAATACGTAAGTTAAAGCTTTCAAACGCCAGATCATGTAGAACTCACATTTTGGCAATGTTTGGGCACGACATGACAACTCCGTTGCTACATGTACACGGACCACAGGCATTGGAAGGTTCACTCCAAGCTAGCACCATACAAATCACAGCTACCGATAAGAGCTGCGAATATCCAAAGGAAATGACCAGACGCACAACCAGAACAGAACAGAAAACGTTACGGCTTCTGGTAGAAACTCAAAAATACAACACAGCAGTGCTATCAATTACCTAAACATAATATTTGTATACGTACACAAGGACGCTAAACATTCTAATTTTGCGGACAAGATGAGAAAATCAACGCTGAGGTGGAAAAATATAGGTAGAATCTGGATAAATCAAACCCCAGTCATTCCAATTATCCAACCCCCAGAACATATGCCCGTTTTGAGGTTCGAATTACCAGACTTTGCTATTCCCGTAGCTATGCAAAAGGTGTAACTTCAGTAACGTATCGCGCTAGCCAGGGTCCACACAGCTTTATTGCCATGTGTTTGTTTGTTTGTACCGTCGCGTACGTCGGCATGCCTGGCGCTATCCCGTACCTGTCTCGTACCGTACCATCAGAGACAGCTGGCCACAATATTCAAATAGGGCTTTCAAATGCAAGATCATAACGTGCAGCAGCTTGGAAGAATGAGTATGTATGCGAAGTGTATCGGGGGGGATGCATACGGTGCGATAGTGCGGGTTCGAATCCTAGGTTATGTCTTGAGTAAATTAGGAGAGATGAAAAATTTATAACATCACTATGCTTTTTTGCCTTGGGCATCAAGGTGGTAGACGGTGTCGTATTACCTTCGAATGCAAAGAGAAAGTTATTTTCTTTCGCTCAGGGCCCTACGCTATTCTTTTTTGCCTAGCTCATCATGCATGGTATTCGAACAGATGGAAACTTTTGCAGTACAATGATGTAGCCGATCAGTTCGTTATGGTATGGTTGGGCATTGTAGCCGTCATGGTCGAAGTAAAACACTATAGCCAATTAATGGAAAAAAAAACATTTCCATCAGTTCTAATAACATGCATGAGCTAGGCAAAAAAAAAGCTTAGCGTAGGATGCTGAGCTTCCAAGCTCCCTCATGTTAATATCAAGAGTAGTAAGATTACGATTGAGCTGTCTTTAAACTCTGATAAGGCCCTTGGCGGCAACGTTGCTCATTGGTCGTTTTCCTGGATAACGAGACAGACCTCATTCTAAAAAAAATAGCATAATACAATATTGAGTGACACGTTTCCTATTCTTTAGTCCGCTATACTACAGAAACCCATTTAGCAGAAAAGCATTTAAAGGAAGCCATTATGCGCTTCTAGCAGGGCATAGAACTGAAGGTGGCTGGGCTAGTAGTAGTAGAAGTATTAGTAGTGTTTATTAGACTAGGGAGTCCCAACAGGCAGGGCCCCGCCATTGTTACAGGGAACCCTAGGTGAATCTTTGTGAGGCGAGCAAAAGTATCAGCAGATTGTGCCCAACGACAATTTGGAGGAATAGCATTCCACCGACATGCCGCCAGAAGTGAAACCGAGTGCAGTCCGTACTCAATTTCTGCAGTAGGTAATGCTGAGACAGCTGTATCCTGGCCACGAGTACGAGCATTTGTGTGCGGGCCAGCTGAACGCAGGGTAAACAGTGATTGAAGGAGGGGCTAGCAATTGATGACAAGTAGTGATAGACCAAACCGTATAGTTTCAAATTAACTCTTTACTCAAACGAATACAGATGACACAGTTGTAGAACTAATGCAGTTGGGGTCATTCTATCTAAACCAAATGCATTTTTCATCGCAATATGGCTGACCGTTACAAGCCTGGGTATATGGGGTAGTTTTCAAGCAGTGCACATACACATTACTTGCATATCCTAGATAAAAAAAATCATCGATTAGTATACAGAGGTATTTTACAGTAGAGACAGGGGAAATGACAACACCTTTACAGGTCAGGTACAGGGCTGGGCTCAGTGCAGGCAGGGCAGGACCCCGCATCACCATGAACTGTGTATTGCTCTAGCCACCGCATACTATCCTGCAAGCGTAGCATGATTGTAGCCACATCAGAGCCGAATACGTAGAACGCAATATCATCAGCGTGCAGCTGCACCATACTCCCGTGTCTCTTTCTGCTGCACGCGTTTGGAACAGTCTTCCACCTGATGCGAGAAACATCACCCCCCTCCAGTTCAAGGGTGTGCTGCACGCGTATTGTCTTACTGTAGCATGACAGCAACCCCCCTCCCCTATCTTGAGTATAGTACAGTTGTGGCAAGTGAAATCCGACACTTGGCATAAGGGACTGCACCGTGCATCCTGCAGCCTCTGCAGCCCTGCATATGTACAGTACATGTGCTGCATACAACTTTATCTGTCTGATGACAGAATTCGTACTCATCACAGTCAAGGTTCAAAAGGTGCTGGCAAATATGAATGGGAATTGGATACCAATACTCCTGATGTGTACCATGTTTGTGAACTGTGTGTATCTAAGCTGTGACCTTTCGACCTGTTTGGGATGCATACGGCTCTATAGTACCAATTAGGTGCAGTGCATTACATCATTGATGTCCATTTGAGGCGCTGTCCCCTATGGCAAGTGTCGGATTTCACTTGCCACAACTGTACTAGTAATATGTAGTAATCCTGATGCTCTGATGCATGCCGAGGCTAGCTGTGCTCAGTCTCCGGCTAGCTGTATGCTCAGGATGCTTTCTTGATCTTCTCTTCTTCTTCTTCTTCTTTTTTCCTTTCTCTTTTCTTTAAAATGTTTTACTGCCAGAAGTGGTCTTCATATAAGGAGGCAGATATGCCTGTTTGTTGTACGACTTTAAATAAATCCAACCAACCAACCAACCAATACTCTCGCGAATAAGTTCGGATATTCGGCGAACGTACATGCAGAAAGGCAATGGCCCGACAACAGACTCCTAGGGGACCCCTCTTGTACAGGGTTTGGTGTCACCCTTCTCACCATTGACAGTAACCTGCTGACTGCGATTCGTGAGATAGTCTGAGAATCACTTGAGGACAGTATTGCCTACGCCAGGTGCGGCTATCTCATCCAGTAGACCTGTTGGGTGCACACGGTTGAACGCCTTGCCCATATCCGCAAAGACTTCTAGTCAAGTTCTGTCTATGCAAAGTGTCAGGGCATCCTCACAGCTATGATGTGAGAGGTACGCAAATTGTTCAGCTGCTATGGCAGATAGCAAGAGTACATAACCCCCCAGAGTGTGCAACTCCACTATGGGTGCTGTCCCGACAGAATTTCAAGTTGACGTCATTTTGATGATGCAATGCGCACTGTACACGGATTATCAGACGAATCCGGAACCTGTGGTTGACCGAAGCCGATCGATCTTGTACAAATTATTGCAAAGAAAAACGTGTGATGCGTTGACACCCGTACACATGTTGTAAATCACTGCTGCAAGGAGCATTGCGTCATAAATAATGACGTCAACTTGAAATTCTGTCGGGACAACAGGGTATGTGGGAGTTGCACACTCTGGGGGGTTATGTACTCTTGCAGATAGGTCTGGATTCTGGTGAAATACGAAGTGACTTGCTTGTGGACAATCTTCTCTAGGATCTTGGCAGCGATATGTAACAGTGAGATTGGTCTGTAGATGGTGGCTGAGGTCTTATCACCACATCTGTAAACAGGGCAGACATGGGCAATTTTGTAGGCAGCAGGAAAGATGCCAGATCTAAGGGACTGGGGGACGATAAAAGTTAGGGGATACGAGACTTAATCTCTGCATTATTTCTGGATGCCGGACAGAATATCATAGGAGCCGGTGGCTTTGCTGGATGCCAGAGATTCAAGGAACTTCGAGATGGCATCGACGCTGACAGTATCAAACTCCAAAAGGGTAGCGCCATTGGGGTCTGCAAGAGGCAGGGGCACCTCGACTGGTCTGGCAGGGTCATGGACGATCTCGGCAAAGGCACTAGTAGTCGTCAGATCAGCGAGTGTGGCTGCTGGTGCAGCCCTCACTGCTGTTCTACCAGACTAGCTATTGATACTGGCCCATTAGCCTCGTGGGTCATGGCGACGATTTTCGAACTCTCTGATGTAATACTGTGACTTCAGCTGCCTATTGAGGAGAGGGCCTTCTCGCCGTATTGCACGATACATCTGCCGAAGCTGTTGATCTAACGGGTGAGTGCGTACCTTTCTATGTATCTTGATTCGTTGCTGGAGGAGGTGTTTCAACCGAGGTGTCTAGCCAGCTACCGACTCTGGAATGGCCTGCCCGATAATATGAAGTCGCTAGTATCTGACGGTGGATTCAAACGCATGCTACGCGTATTTTTATTTGGTTAAATGTAATGGCTTTCGTAACCTGCTGATGAGGCTCGATAGAATCATGCTACGATGACCCGACTTGTAAATTTGAGATCTCTTTTTCTCAGATGGAGAGCCAAGAAACTTTTTAACCCATTGAACGCTGATGACGTCTATAAACGTCATTGAAAATGCCCCCCATGCGCGGGATGACGTCTATAGACGTCATGGGATATAATGATTTCTGTCACTGTCTGGTGTGTAAAAGCACTGTTAGTCAGTTGGATCATGGTCCTGCCTCTAGTACGATAGGTTGTTGGTACGAATCCCGCTTGGTAACAGTATGCGTCTTTTTTTCTTCTCTTTTCAGCGATCTTTCAGCTGCAATTGCACACATTTAGCGTATTTCACGCAATTTGAGCAGACTTGCGTCCCCTATTGTGAAGCGCTATTCTTTTCGGGGACTGTATCGATTCTGTCACCCTGTGGTTGATAGCCTTGGCAATCATTTCCAAAATATTTGAGGACACCAGTTGCCAGAACCCTGGAGTTTTAGAACTTGCTATTGGCCCTGTTTTTAGCATTTTATATGCAGAGTACCATAGGCAAGGCCCAGTAGCGCTAAATGGGTTTAACATGGAAATCGATAGCATACCTTGTGTCCACAATTTCCCATGTTTATAATACAAACCTTTTTCCTGCTCGTCCTAACCCTGCCTCCCCTCACTGTTACTTCCATTTTCGTATTATAATTATAATTTTACTTTCTCTTCATCTCTGACTCTTTTTACTGGTTGTCATCGCTTTCATAATACCGTAAAGTACCGTTGATCCGCCCCCTCTCTAATTCCCGCCGCCTGTCGATTTTCTACCTGTGAAGCGATTTCGGCGTAGACAACGAAATACGATGTTGAACCGACGCTTGCACTGCTGTACTCAATATGTGCCAATCCAGGATGAGAATGTGCACAATTTAGCACATCGAGTCTGATCCTCCAAGTTGTTGTACATCGTACTGCACTTGACAGCCTTGATCTAATTCCCGCCCCTGTCGAAAAACCAGCTGGGAAGCGGCATGGCGTGGGGGCGGATCAACGGTACTTTACGGTATTGGGCAGAACTGCCCGTTTGACATGCGATGTATATTAAATAAACAACAAAAACAACAACAGCTTGCTCACTCCATAAAATATCAATATGCCCCACAACACATACGCATGCTCAACACCCCCGCTCAAGTTACGGCCCAGTACAGCCTTGGACACGCACGCACTTGGCACCTCCCACCCTCCAGAACCGATCGCTGTAAAGACTCCCCACTGTACAAGTCCCTAGAATACTACAATGCCCTCCCTGCTAGCATTCATGACGTCTCCTCCCGACCTGCTTTCAAACAAGAAATCTGCTCACTGCCGATTAACTCAATCTGCTCCTGCAGCGCTCACCCTCTCCCATACTTGTAAAGTTCAAAGTGATGTAAATCACTTTCCAACTGTTTAACCCACAATCTCACCTTCTCATAAATGTATCTCTTCTTGGCGATGGTGCCATCGTGAGCATAAAGAATTCAAACAACTTTGGTGCTTTTTTGACAACATTCACATCATCTTTGTTCAATATGCGTACATGTTGCGAACTACACCCTTGTTTGGTTTGATTGGGCCAGCGTTGCTCGGACTACACCGTGTGCCCGCACTCAATCCAGATTTGCCAATCGATGAGACCCCTGCTGGAACATTTAATCCGCTGCTTGTTATGACCAGCACGAGCGGTGAAAGTACAATATGAGATTTAGACCACGTGATGTGTGAAACTTTCGCTGTTTGCGGATCTACAGTTGTGGCAAGTGAAATCCGACACTTGTCATAGGGGACAGCGCCACAAATGGACACCAATGATGCAATGCACTGCACCTAATTTGTACTGTACTATAGAGCCGTATGCATCCCAAACAGGTCGAAAGGTCACAGTGTAGCTACACACAGTTCACAAACATGGTACACATAAGGAGTATTGGTATCCAATCCCTATTCATTTTTGCCAGCATCTTTTGAACCTTGACTGTGATGAGTACGAGTTTTGTCATCAGACAGATAAAGTTGTATGTAACACATGTACGAGGTGGTTCGCAATTTTTGGACATGTCGTAATTTTTGGAAAAATCAGTTAAATATGGAAGTAGAATCCTCCTGAGTTGTTGTCCTCTCCTTGGTGGACAAATCTTCGATAAGAGTGTCTTCTTGTGGTCCTCAAGTTTCTTTGCGCCAATTTTTAGCGGTGAAGGCCGTTTCTTTCTGGGCGTTTTCTTTATTATTCTTAGGTAATGTAATGAGTATCGCATAACGGAGAGAATGTCGACATGGGGGATGTTGTATCCCTTCCATCAACTCCAGGGACTACGTCTTCCACCTCGAATCCGCCTGGAAGAGTCTCCTCGCCTTCTCAACCGGTGCGTTTGTGGAGGGGTTCTGGTCAGGAGAAATATTTTTTAGCAGTGCGAGCGTTCCACTCACCTGGCACCAGTGAGCACTTCCTAACCAAGAAGGACGCAGCGGCTAGTTACGGCGCTAGCCCTCCACTCTTTGCGAAATATGAGAAGGAGATGGGCCACTCTGGAGTACTCTCCTCTGTTCTTGAATATTACGTCCGTGAAAAACCTTTAGTGACCCTTTAAATTGTGTGTCACATTGAAAAGCCTTGAAAAGCTTGCTATGGCCTGTCATTAGAACTCATATCAGCCGGTCTCATAGGCATAGCCTTACCCCATTTTCATGTCCTGGGCAAGTTTTACTTGTTCACACCATTGCAGACTGCTGCTAGATGCTATTTAATTTAGTTGTCCAATAATTGCTCGCATTGAAAAAGCAGTAGAAAAAGACACCTTCAATGGTTTGGTTGGGTTTGGTTTTTATTATTTCAGTTCGTTGCCTCAACAGTACAAAGTACAAATATCAAGAGGAACGAACGAAAAGAGAAAATAAAACAGAGCAGAGAGGAAGATGCAACTGAAACTGAGGAAAGAAAAACGGAGAGAAACGGAGAAGGAATGTGGGCTGGGCGGATTCATGAACCATTACTAGAGCAGGGCAATGCATGAATCAGGTCAAGTTGTGACCTCATGCTTCAACTCTATGCCTTCAGGTGTGTGGGGTGGTGGTAAAGTATAAGTGTGCCAGTAGAAAGCAAGAAAGAAATTTAAGTTATCTTACAAACCAACATAATGGGGTGCTATTTAGAGTGTCCAAAAATAGCAAATGACCTCGTACTGTCCGTATGCAGGGCTGCAGGGGCTGAAGACTGCATGGTGCAGTCCCTTATGCCAAGTGTTGGATTTCACTTGCCACAACTGTATTAAAGGGCATGCCGATTTGCACTTAGGGGTCGTCCGTAATTATCGAAAAATTAAAAAATCCGTCCTCGTGCAAAATTCTCTCTGACCCACCCACCCACCTCCCATTTTTTCCCATTAATTTTTGGATTTTTACCGATGCCCGGCTCGAAAATAATAACTCCTGAGTCCTGACCCCATGTTCACTGATTGCACCTACATGTACATGAATGTCAAGTACTAGTAGCTAAGTAAAGTGAGTAGGTCTACCGACGGCCATGCACGTCCTACAACTACAAAAGAGTCATGTACCGGTATATCATACTGGTGTTTGCGATCCTACACTACGTCTACAGTGCACTACATGTCAGTGCAACAAGTGTATGAAAGTCACGGACGAAAACAAAAAGTACGAAAAATCGAAAAATTAAATTCCGCCAGCGCTCTTGACCACCCACCCCCTTGGCCTTTCTGCATGAGGACGGATTTTTTAATTTTTCGAATAATACGGACGACCCCTTATCATAATATTATTACCGTATATTCTCTATTATAAGAACAGGTCTCCATTACTAGCACAGTCTCTAATACTAGCACACTGTGAGCACCTTTCGAAACATTATAAGCACAGTCTCTATTACTAGCACGGTCTTGGTGGAAATCAATGCTACATGCATGATATCTAGCATGTATTTCTTCTTGTTCTGTATGGATGTATTGGTTGAAAAAATATAAGCACGGTCTCCAATATAAGTGCGGTCTCCAATATAAGCACGGGATAGAGGGGTGTTGAAAAAATAGAAGCACGGCGCTTATAATAGAGAATATACGGTATGTTCTTGATAACACAGTAGATGTCTACAAGTGACAACAAAGAAAACTAACAGCTATAGAAATATTGAGTACTTACACACAAGTTTGAAGCGTTCATGATGTCTTCGTTGCAAACAGCCTGTGAGATCCAAAGATATTATGCCACATAGGAACTTGGGTTCCCTCTCTCGACAGCCCTCCTTCTGTTGCGAAATGCCGATTGGTCGTACAGAGAAATACCAGTACTAGTAGTGCTTTTCGGAAAAGCAGGGCCAAAGTGCTCCTTCTCTTGGCAATGGTACTGATGACTGTGAAAGAAGAACTGTGCGGGACTACATGTACCGGGTTCATGCACTAATGCTATACTGTTAGGCTTTGCAAATTTGGTTACATGAGAAATTTCAACCAGGGTCGAGTTCAGGCTCAGTTGAAAGTCTGTACGATAGACAAAATGAGTGATACGCACAAAGAGACCCCAAATGTAGAGTTGCACACTTTTGCCAGTTTTGGGGGTTACGAAAACTCACAGCACGTGTGTCAAATACGTTCGTACTACGTACAAACGAAGTATAGTGTGCATTTTAGCTTCCTCCTTATTGGACTGTTTTCACAGCCATTGTAGCTTCCTCCGTGTAAGACTGTTTTCACAGCCATTTCAGCTCATTTTCTCTCGGTACTAAGCTGTTGATCTTGCACTTGTGTTTATTTTGCCCGTACAAGAGGCTTGGAACCTTGAGTATAGTGTGCATGCGGTTTTGTTGACAAAACTAAAATTACCGTAAAATCCCGCCAACAGGCCAGAGCGCCCCTACCTCCTCGACGCTTTGGGGGGGGGGGGGGGGGGGGCGGATGGGCGAGTCCTACTTGCCGCATGCAGTACTGTACTATATTGTACTGTACATGAAAAAGTACCCTACGAAAACCCTTGATTCCAAACCTACAAAAGCCTCTTGTACGGGCAAGAACAAAGTAATACAGCTAGCGTGTGTTGAAGAAGAAAATGAGCGGAAACATACTGTATGCTGTGAAACACGCATGAGGCATGATCAGGACAAGACAGTTGAAAAGAAAAGGAAAGAAAACAAACACACACACACACACACACACACACACACACGCACTCACACAACAACAACAACAACAAGTGCCATACGCATGAACGTTAACGGCCAACGCCAAGGCTGTACCCTACGAAAACTATTCGTGCATCTCGTGCACCGACCAAAAGTCAAGAGCCAGGAGTCGTACAGATCCGTCAAAAATCAGGCTTTGTGCGATCCCTGGCCTGGTCAAGAGGATGGGCATCAGGAAAAAGTACAGTACCTGCTACCTTGGCCGTTACCGAGGCCCGCTGCCCCGTATAACTGACTGCAAGTGGTTCCTAAACCAGTTCCTATTCCTCATTGTTGTTTCTTTTTTCCCCTCTAGTTTTCTTTTTACGGTATTATAATTTCACGGAGAAGGCGGAGAGCCCGAACGTGTGCAGTTTTATTTTTATTATTTGCCATGGCGACCCCCGTAAGTCCAAATAACGGGCAGGGTTGGGCCTTTTTCTTTCTTCTCAGATTGAAATTCTTACCAGGCGTGGGCCATCCCCTGAAAAAGAAACTGGTACAGGTCTGCTCTCGATATAACAACTCTCACTTGTACATAAACCTCGCTAGTACATAAAAAAATCAAATCCCGCGCCGAAACAGCATCACTCCCATACAAATTTTGTTCTACACAACATAATCCTACATAACATAAACCTCGACATAACACACGCTACAGCGCGGTCCCCGACGTGCGCACTCTCGATACAACATAAATTCACTTGCACGGTACGATCAAGCGGTAGCTGTAGCTGGGCAGTTTAGTCCTACATAACGTAAACCTCGGCATAACGCACCCTACGGCGCAGTCCACGACGTGTGCACTCTCGATACAACGTAGATTCACGTGCGCGGTACAATCAAGCTGTAGCCGTAGCTAGCCAGTTTAGTCTTATTGTGCATAATTATATTCTGCGGCATTGATGGTATCTGATGTCGATGGTGGTACAGTGTGTATGTTTGCACGGTTGAACCCGCCTTGTAATACCCTTCATTTTGAGGTGCATCTTGTATTTTACACACGGTTTTCTACATAACATAACTCTCGATATAACATACTTTTTGCGTGGTCCCAGAGATTACGTTATATGGAGAGTAGACCTGTATTGTGTTACTCCTTGGTGGGCACTGTTACGTACATTTCCAATGGGGTCGAGCATGCGTCTGCAGTACAGTACGGCATCACAGAGTCATCTGGTCATACGAGGATACAATCAAGAGTCCATAACTCTTGATACAATCAATCACGTCCCTGACAAGAAGTCAGGGAGGGGCGCGGATGGGAGAGATGGGGCGCTCTGGCGCTCTGGCGGGATTTTACGGTATAATAGGGAGGTTCTGCTATACGTGAAACGTCGAGAAATCACGTGGAATGTGTACTGGGAATTTCCCCTTCCATATTTGGCAGTTTTCTGCATGCAGTTGATCGATACCCAGCAAATCCGTACGCATTTACTCTGCGTGTGCCACAACGTAGAGAACCCCATCTCCGCGTAGAAATCTGGAGCCAAAACACGCGAAGCCGTAGACTCTAACCCAGACACCTGCTCTCTACGTGATTTCTCTACGTTTCACGTATAGCAGAACCTTTGTACTGACTTCTTGGGATGAACCAAAGGCATTTCGCGAGTTCGCATTGCACGCGTCCATCGCAGATCGCGTCGCATCGTGAGTCGCGTGCGATGCGAACTCGCGAAATACCATTCACAGAAGAAGTCAGCGATGCGACAAAGCCTTGCTGATTTGGGTACGCCACCACGGTATTCGCGCGGGCGGTACAACTTCTATAAAATGATAGGCAACTCTTGAACCTTTGTACAACTTTGCAGTAGAAAAGGCCAACATCGTACGCCAAATCGCTTGTCGCATCGCAAAAGTTGAGCCAAGCTCAACTTCCGCGATGGCCCTGTTGCGGCAGTTGAGTGGGGTCCGCGATGGTTGCGATTCGGGGATTTCCCGGTTTCGCGGCTGTCGCAACGCGTGTCGCATCGCAAAAAGCGGGATTCACAGAAGCTTTTTTTGCGATGCGACACGCGATGCGACGCGATCTGTGACGGATGCGTGCGAGGCGAACTCGCGAAATACCATTCACAGAAGAAGTCAGCGATGCGACAATGTCTTGCTGATTTGGGTACAGTCCGTGCGCCAAGCTGCAAGGGGAGGTATATTATGCTCGGCAGGCCGCGAAAGAGAGGCTTACTGGAAGACTAAAGGCCGATTCACAATACAAATTTCTGCGACGTGACACGAGTCGCGAGCTGTCGCAAGCTGTCGCAATGCACCTGTCGCAGAAGTTGAAGAAAGTTCAACTTTTGCGACATGCGACACGTGACACGCGACATACACAAATGGAGTACAGTTTCGACCCTGGGTGCACGTGCAGTGCACGTGCATAGTACAACTTGTGCATGAGGATGTCGCAAACATGAAGAATATTGTGAACCGTGTGTCGCTGTCGCAGCTCGTAGCATGTGTCACAAGTCGCATGTCGCGTCGCAGAAAGTTGTATTGTGAATCGACCTTTAAGCGGGATTCGAATACTCACAGAAGATTTTTGGCGATGCGACACGCGATCTGCGACGGACGCGTGCGATGCGAACTCGCGAAATACCATTCACAGAAGAAGTCTGTGATGCGACAACATCTTGCTGATTTGGCTACGTCACCATGATATTCGCGTGGTTTGATACAACTTGTACCAATTTATAAGCAACTCTTGAACCCTTGTAGAACTTTGCTGTAGAAAAGCTAGAAGGTCAAAATCGTACGCCAAATCGCTTGTCGCATCGCATCGCATCGCAAAAGTTGAGCCAAGCTCAACTTCTGCGATGGCCTGCGATGGCCCAGTGGAGTGCGACATGACTGCGATTTGGGGTTTTCCCGGTTTCGCGCCTGTAGCATCGCATGTCGCATGCGACGCATTTTTCCCCCCTTTTTATTTTCCCAGTACATGTACGTAGGTATTTTACTACTCCGTGGTTTTTCCACAACTTCATTCTTTTTACCAACCGTGGGCCATGCCCTGGGTTATCAAAATGGGTGCCTTAATATTTTTTAATTATAATACCATTGCATTTATGATACGACTGTAGACAATTGTTTATCCACTGCACATGCGACAAGCTGCAACAGCGACACACGGTTTACAATACTGTTAATCAACTAATTTTCGCTGGCAATTTAATTTCCCTGATTTCGCCGCTGGGTATTATTATTATTGTTATTATTTGTTTTACATCGGAAGCTCAACAGTGCAGCTGCACAAATATGAAGAGGCCGATGGGACCGAAAAAAATAAGAATAAATTAAAATTAAACAATGTATATACATCAGTGTAAATGCTCATACATCAGTGTAAATGTTCAAATGTTTAGAAAAAAAGGGGGGATGAGTGGTGAACATAAAGAAAAAAGAAGAATAACGTATGCTGAATGATCCTGGGCAATATATTATTATTATTATTATCACGACTACCTCAGATTCAGTACACTACTGGCCGAGAATGACAGCAAACAGCAAGTCAAACTCCTCGCCAAGTACGAGAAAAACATCAAATGGCTGCGTGCAAAGCGGTATGGCTCCTTTAAGCCCAACATGGACACGATTATTAATCTGGCCAACATCGAACTATCCCCTGTGCAAAAGGAATTACTTTGCCGGGGAACGGAGTTTGGTATTCCTCCTTCTAACAACATAAAGGAAATAGTTCTTACGCAATTCGAAATGTTCCACAAAAAACTCATGAAGAATTTTACACCAGTGTCTGAAAATCAGCGTGCTATCTGTACGGCTAATCTTCGAGCCATCGCCGAAGAACACGCAGAAAAACCTCCAGACCGAAGCACATTTTCATTATCCAGAGAACACCTTAAGGCTCGACGTCATCTTACGAACAACAACGATATTAGAATCACAAGACCAGACAAGGGCCGAGCTACAGTTATTATCAGCACACAAGAGTACAATACAAAAATGGCGGTCATCCTTGAGGACACGAGTAAGTTTGTCCAACTCGGTCCGGTATCTACTCATGACAACACAGTTCGAGTAGAGAAAAAGTTGAATAGTTTTCTCAAGAGACTTAAAGAAAATAAACAGATATCGGAGGAAGAGTTTTTCAAAATGCGGCCAATTGGTTCCGTCCGGCCACGTCTCTATGGGCTACCAAAAATACATAAACCGAACTGTCCGTTGCGCCCCATATTATCCATGGTTGCATCACCACAATATAATATCTCTACATGGC